GGAGCTAGGGTTTTGGGGCTGATCGTCGCCGGCGTTCCAGGCTTTGTCCCAGGGGGAGTCGGCGTCGTCTCCTCCTTTGCCGAAGTTGGAGGTTGAGAGGAGGCGGAGGGCGGAAACCCTAGGCTGGGGGATTTGGGCGCGGCGGTGGAGGAGGGATCGGAGAGTTGTGAGCATTGTTTTGGGATTAGGGTTTTAGAGGGGGGTTGGGGTTCGGTGGCTAAAAGTGGCGTTTTTCATTTTGAAGCCAAGAGGCGAACTTTTTTTTGTTTTTGTTTTTTTTTAATCTCCTTTTTCTTCCTACTTGTGTGCGGTTTTGTACTCCAAAACAGTTTCCCGTTAATTATATCATCCAAAATAAATAAAAATAGGAGAAAAAACTCTTTTAACCCAAAGTTTTACTGGAACTTTTTTAAAACCCCACTCATTTTTTCAAACACCAATAGACCCACTGTATCACATCTCACTTATTTTTAAACCCAACATATATAATACACTCATTTTTTGTACTGTATTTACCCAATAAATTAAAAATTCCTAAACTACCCTTCATCCCCAAATATTGGTCATCCCCTCTCTCTCTCTTCCGTCTCTCTTCCGTTTTACTTTCTCAAAGAGTCCAGGAGAGATTAGGGTTTTGGCGAAGAGATCTGTGGTTGAGGTTCACCGGTAGCGGCGAAGGGAGTTGGATCAACGGTGAGCGACGACGGACGGCGGCTGCACGGGTCTGAAAGCGGGTAACACACGAATCTTCCACTTTTCCTCTCTAATACTTGAAATTAAGCCCCTAGAACATCGATTTTCATCGCAAGTTCCTCATATCACTAAGTGTTTTTATATTTCGAATGAGGTTGTAGAGAATGCGACGGAGAGAGTTAGGCTTGGATAAATCAGTGTTGTCTGTAGCGAGAGATATTGGAGTTGGGAGAGATCGAAAGGTTTTCCTGCAGGTGTGATTAAGCCCTTTTTTAAATTAATTAATGGAAATGGATGATTTCTTGACCTAATTATGTTGATGTTTGGTATAATTTAGGTCATCGTGGGACTGTGGATTGTTTCGTACATTGGAAGTTCGTTTAGTATCTTCACTCTTATTTACATCGGTGAGTTCTAATAATTTATCCATTGTTTGACTGACCTAATTAAAGTTTCAAAAGAAAAACACTTTCTTTTGAAATTAAGCCCCTTGTTGTAGTTTTGATCACATGCAACTTGCACGTATAAATTGTTGAAAGGGCCCAAAAGATAAGAATGTACTTATATCACAGTAATCTCTCGAACATCTAAGGTTAACACCTATGATAGCTTGGTGTTGAAATCATCTATATACTATTACTAAAAATAGTTACCCATTGAAACGCCACCTGGCAATTGAACTGCCACCTAGCAATTTTACCCTTCGTTCTCTTCATTTTCCCCCAAAAAAAAACACCAATTCGTTCTAAATCACCGCTTCGTTCTCTTCATTTCCCCAAAAAATCACCGTTCTCTTCATTTCCCCAAAAAAACAATGCTTCGTTCCATTCGTCGATCTCAGAAACCAACTCCCCAAATCGCCATTTCTTTCCCCCCAAACCCGCCCTCGCCAGCTACCTCTACGCCACTGTCCTCTCTCACCCCTCGCTCGCTCGGTCACTCGCCTTTCACCTCGCCAACAAACTCTGCTCCTCCACGCTGCTCTCTGTTCGCTGTGAAAATTGCCTTCATTGAATCCATTGTTATCTCAAGTAATTGCTTTTTGGTTACAAAAGATCCGGTCTTTTTTTTAAGATCCGGTTACAATGAAAATCAAAGAAAAATAAACAAAGATTACAACTTTCTCCTTTTGTGTCGAACGAATCACAAGCTCCTGTTTTGCGGTCGCTCGCTTTGTGGGTTCTTCGCCTGCGCCGGGGTTTATCCGTGGACCACCGCGCAATCTAGATCCGGTCGGATCTACGTAGTACGACGGGTATTATTTCACCAAGGAAATAATAGCCGGGGGGAATTGGTTCACCAAGGAAACAATCGCCCAAATCTCGGGATCAAAGACCAAGCTTTGATCTGGAGTATGCCTGCGTAGATCTGAGATCCGGTCCTCTCGAACTCTTGTCTTATTTGGCGTTGACGATCGCCGAGCACCAGATCTGGATGAGCAAGTCCTCGAAGTCCTAAAGCTTGAATCTTTTTTAGATCTGAGTCTTCAATCCAGCAGGGCTTCGCCTCCAAAAAATCCAACCTTTTAAAAAATGAACCACCTCTCCTATTTATAGCCTCTCTTCACTGTGCCCACGCACAGATCTGGGTCGGCCACCTATAGGTGGCCGGCTCTGGGCCGAGCCACCTATAGGTGGCTCGGCTCTTGGCCGAGCCACCCATAGGTGGCTCGGCCTTGGCCGAGCC